TACGGCCGAGGCCGCGCGGCGACTCCAGACACAGGAGGGACAGCACCAGCACCCCCAGCGGCAGCACCAGCACCAGTAGCAGCTCCAGCTCCAGAACCCCCAGCAGCACCAGTAGTACCCCCAGCAGGACCGCCTCCAGGACCGACAGCAGTAGCCTCCGCGCCAACACCCGCAGCAACTCCAGCTCCAGAAGTACCCGCAGGTCCAGCAGCTCCAGTACTCCCAGTACGAGCACCTCCGGGACCCGTGGCACCAGCTCTCTCAGCAGCAACAGAACCTCCAGTACCCGCAGCACCTCCAGCTCCAGCAGCTCGCCTCCAGCGCCGGGCAAACCACTCACGCAGCTCCTGGGGAGAGAGTGGCTCCCGGCGAGAAGGAGCACCCGGAGAACCGCCAGGCACAGCACCACCAGGCGTAGCACCCCCAGGCTCAGCACCTCCAGGCGTAGTCCCCCCAGGCTCAGCACCCCCAGACGCAGCACCCCCAGGCTCAGCACCTCCAGGCGTAGCACCCCCAGGCTCAGCACCCCCAGACGCAGCACCCCCAGGCTCAGCACCCCCAGTCGTAGTACCCACACGCTCAGCACCCCCAGAGTCAGCACCCACACGCTCAGCACCCCCAGAGTCAGCACCCCCAGGCTCAGCACCCTCAGCAGCACCAGAGTCACCAGCGACCTCGACAGGCTCAACAGCGTCTACCTGGGACACACCTGAAGGGGCAGGACCCTGAGGGGGGAGGGGGTCTACCGGGGGGGGACCTGGTACAAGGAAGAGCGGTGGCGGGGGGAGGGACGGAGTGCGGTAGGGGAAGAGGCGGTAGTAGGGGACCGACTCGTCGAACGTGACGTCCTGGGAGGACAGAACACGGCGAGAGGTGGGGTGGTAGAACTGCCACCCTGGGGCGTCAGGGGGGAAACCCAGAAAGACGCAAGGAGCAGCACGAGGGGACAGTTTGTCCGCAGACAAGTCGCGGACAAACGCCCGAGATCCCCAGACACGGAACGCAGACGCATCGCCAACCTTCCCCGTCCACAGCAAGGCTGGGGAGGTCTCCGGCATGGAGACCCTGGGCTGAAGGTTGATCTGATGCGCCGCGTACCGAACCGCAAACGGCCACAGAAAATGGGGGGCAGCCGCATGCATCATGGACGTACGGGCGACGTCCATGACCATGCCAATGCGGCGCTCAGCAATCCCATTTTGCTGTGGAGATTCCGGAAGCGTGAAGGTCTGGCGGATGCCTCGTGCACGACAGTAGGCTCGCAGAAGGCCAGAGGAGAACTCTCCGCCTCTGTCAGAGTTCAGACGCAGAACAGGAAAGTCCGAGCCGAAGCTCTGCCTGAGCTGGAGACGAGCTGCGCGGATCCAGTCGATCAACACCTCAGTGACATCACCCTTGCTGCGCAAGGGGAAGACTGTGGTGTAACGCGAGTAGTCGTCAACCACCAGCAGGAAGTAGCGCTCGTGACCCTGTCCACGGACGCGGGCCGGGCCCCACACGTCCATGTGAAGCGTCTGCAGCGGGGCCTCTGTCGGAGGAAACTGGGAGGAGTGAGGGGTAGCCCGCTGTCGTCCCTCGACACAGGGGACGCAGGTAGGGCCCGGCCCCGGAGGAAGTGGAGGGAGGGACCGGGGAAGACCAGAGACAAGGACACGGGAGGCCATGCTCCGGAGACGAAGCAGGGAGGGGTGACCAAGGCGGTGGTGCCAGAGGAGAGTCTCGTGAGACAGGAGGCGACACGAGCAGGGGGCAGACTCAGGACCAGACCTGGACGCTGCAGCAAACACCTGACCCGACGCAGCTACCTGACCAGACGCAGGGACTGGGGGAGACGCAGTGGTCAGTGTGTACAGGCTCGACCCCGGCCGACGTGTAAACGTGGCCAGGTGTCGGCCTGTCCGAGCGTCCGTGCAGTGGGTCACCCGCTGACTCGCAGGGGTGAACTGGTGAACCCCCGCATCCTGTAGGTCAGCACCACTCACCAAGTTCGTAGAGAACGAGGGGAGGTAAAGACCAGACAGGGTGCCAGAGGGGGCCGCCGGACACGGGAGGACAGTGGAGAAGTGAGCAAGGACAGGACCCCCAGAGGGGTCTGCCAGAGAGACCGCAACTGGCCGGCGAAGCGGCGTGAGTGTGGTGCGGTCTCGAAAGAAGGAGCGAGAAGCCCCCGAGTCAAGGGTGAAGGTGTGGGAGGCCGAAGCCGACGCAGAACCTGAGAGAGCAGACTCACCAGTACCTGAGGGAGCAGACGCCCCTGGAGCAGCAGCCTCGCTAGCACCTAGAGCAGCAGCCTCACCAGTACCTAGAGCAGCAGTCTCAATGCCCGGGTCGGGCGGAAAACACCGGTAACAGTCACCCTCATCACTAATAGTCACAGTATACATGGCAGCAAGAATAGCATCAAAGTCAAGGTCAAAGACAGCTACACCCGCCCTAGACAGCTCACCCCAGCGGGGGATCTCAGTGGCCTCAGGGAACTGGTGACGCCAAGCGACCGTCAGGCGGCCAAAGCAGCGCTGGGTGGAGTGCGCACCCCCGCACTGCTCACCCGCGCGGTCGCCGGTGCGCAGGACGTAGGTGCACGGACCAGTACCCCCACCCCTCTGGCGTGCAGTGTACCACTCACGGAGCTGCTGAGGGGAGGGGACGTCACGAGTGCGCTGCTGCTGCTGCTGCTGCTGCTGCTGGCGCTGACCACCACCGGAGCCGACCCTCTGCGCAGCGCCACCCCGACCAGCTCCACCTCCTCCGCCGCCTCCTCCTCCACCGCCGCCACCTCCGCTCCCTCCGCCACCGCCGCTGCCGCCTGCGCCTCCACTGCCGCCACCTACACCTCCACCCCCGCCACCACCCCCACCGCCACCCTCACCTCCTCCACCGCCTCCACCGCCGCCTCCACCGCCCCCGCTAGCTCCTCCAGCGCCCCTGCCCCCCTTGCCCTTGCCAGGGCGGCGTCTCCCGCTAGGGGTAGACGCTGCCCCAACCGACTCCAAACCAGCGAGGTCGGCCGCAGCAACAGAGGCAACAGAGGGCAAAAGAGGGGAGGGGGAACACCCCTCAAAGATGGGGGTGCGAGGGTCACCACGAGAGGCTCCTACAGCGACTATGCTCTTTTCTGCTGCTAGGAGGGCCTTCTCGAGGAGGTCAACGGTGAGAGTGGTGGGGCAAACCGAGAGGAAGTGGTCCCTGACTACGCGAAGGGAGTCAGGGAGACGGGTGACTATGTAGTAGAGGGTGATGTACATGGGGGGGGGGTTCTTGGCGCAGAACTCAGCAGGAAGCGCAGCGCGGTAGCGAGTGTCACTAGTGCGGAGGTGCGTAATGAGGTCAGCGACTGTGGGAAAGGCAGCAAGGTCAGGGAAGAGGTACGGTAGCATGAGGCGGCTCAGTGCAGCAGTGGCAGGGGAGGAGTAGCGTGCAACTACAGCGTCGTACAAGGTCTGAGCACTCTTGTACTGGCTAAAGTGCGCACGCTCAGAGGTAGGTAGGTGGCGACGCACAGCAAGACGTGCAGCAGCATCGCGCGTGGCCCACTGTGAGCGAACAGTGGCGTCAGCATCAGCAGAGGGGGCAGGAGAGGCACCAGAAGTGAGGTCAAAGAGGGAGAGGCCGTCTGCCCTATCGCACTGTAAGAAAAGCTGCAGGTCATCTATCCAGACTTCAAAGTCAATGGCCCGACCCTCAGCGTCAAAAGCGAGGACACTAGGGGTAGCCATGACAGCAGTAGACTAGCAGTGCAAACAGTAGGGTGAGGGCAGTGCTGTGAGAGAGGCGCTGCTCTTACCGGACAGGGCGGCTCGGGCGGCTCGGCTGCAGGGCGGCTCGGCGACTCGACGGCTGGGCGGCTCGGCTGCTGGGCGGCTCGGCTGCTCGGCTGCTGGGCGGCTCGGCTGCTGGGCGGCTCGGCGGCTGGGCGGCTCGGCTGCTGGGCGGCTCGGCTGCTGGGCGTATCGGCGGCTGGGCGGCTCGGCTGCTGGGCGGCTCGGCTGCTGGGCGGCTCGGCGGCTGGGCGGCTCGGTTGCTGGGTGGCTCGGCGGCTCAGCGGCTGGGCTGCTCGGTTGCCGGGCGGCTCGGCGGCTGGGCTGCTCGTAGGAGTAGGCGTGGGGGCCGTAGGAGCAGGCGCCGGGGCCGTAGGAGCAGGGGTCGGGGCCGCTAGGGCGGCGGATCGGGGCCGCGAGGGCGGCGGATCGGGGCCGCGAGGGCGGCGGAGTAGGGGCCGCGAGGGCGGCGGAGTAGGGGCCGCGAGGGCGGCGGATCGGGGCCGTGAGGGCGGCGGATCGGGGCCGCGAGGGCGGCGGAGTAGGGGCCGCGAGGGCGGCGGATCGGGGCCGCGAAGGGCGGCGGATCGGGGCCGCGAGGGCGGCGGAGCGGGGCCGCGAGGGCGGCGGATCGGGGCCGCGAGGGCGGCGGATCGGGGCCGCGAGAGCGGCGGAGTAGGGGCCGCGAAGGGCGGCGGAGTAGGGGGGGGGGGGGGGGGGGGGGGGGGGGGGGGGGGGGCGCGAGGGCGGCGGATCGGGGCCGCGAAGGGAGGCGGCCGGCGCCGCGAGGGTGGGGCCGCGGGGTCGCTAGGGTAGGGCGACAGAGCCGCGAGGGCGGCTCGAAGGGGCCGCGAGGGCGGCGCGAAGGGGCCGCTAGGGCGGCGCGAGAGAGGGGAGCGCGACTCGGGCAGGGGCTGAGTGCGCTCCGGGCAGGAAAAAAAAAACGGTGGGCCCTAGGAACAGTTCCCACGAGGGAACCTGCTCGATACCATGAGAAGAAACAAGGATTGAATGAACTATGAATGAATTGGGTACAAGTACTAACCCTAATTGGGTTGTACCCCTTATGGGTTACCCCACTATAGCCTACACAATATGCATGAGCTATAATATTCTGACACAAACCATATTCCGATTCTACGGACTCATAACAGTACCTTAGCATCTACAGCTATGCCAGGGCTTTGTTTGAAAAAAAAAAACAAATATCCAGCACAACCTTTCCATTACTGTATTTAATATCTATTCAAACTCAGCCTCGTCGTCGAAGGAAAGCAGTGAGCCAGCCCCTTTTTGTGTTGTCCCCTGCCCTCCACTCGCCTTCTTTTGGTTCCTCCCACTCTGCAGGAAACCACGAGAGCAGTGAGTAGTGGCAGTGTGCCAAGAGAAGTGCAATTCGAGGGGACGTGGCAAATGTGCTGGCAAGTCTGTGAGCAAGCGTGTGAGTAATTGTAGTGATAAGTGTGTGGGCAAGTGTGAAGGGAGGTCAGTGAACTAGTGTGTTGCCAAACGTGTTGGCACATGTGTGAGCAGTTGCACAGACACATGTGTTATCCCCCTAACCAGCACATCCTCCCCTCCCATCCCACTCACCAGCACATCCCCCCCTCCACCGTCCCCCTCCTCACCAGCACATCTCCCCCCCCACCGTCCCCCTCCTCACCAGCGCATCTCCCCCCCCCCTCACCCTCCTTACCAGACCATCCGCTGCTTTCAAACCCATCCTTACCGGGTGTGACAAGTCTGTTTTTTAGTCGACTCAAAAATAGACTCACAGCAAATCCCCCCCATCCCTCACCCTCCTTACCAGAGCATCCCCTGCTTTCCCCCCCAAGCCTTACCGGTGCATCTCCCTCCTTCCCCTCCCCTTTCGTGCCTCCCTCTGCTGCTTTCCGCTTGCGAAACGTGTGCTTCCCGGTCTTGGCCTCTTTCTCATCCTCCTGCTGCCACCTCTCCCGTGCCTGCCAGTGAGAAATGACAGTTTAATGATGCGATGTGTCAACAATGTGACCGTTAACCTGTTATGTTTCATGCAAAGCATGTGTCTCCCTGTCTTCCCCTCCTTCTCATCCTCCTGGTGCTGCCTCTCCCGCGTCTGCCAGTGTGGAAATGACAGTTCAATAACGTGATGGGTAAAGAATGTGCCCGTAAACCTGTTATGTTCACGCAAAGTGTGTGCTTCCCAGTCCTGGCCTCCTTTTCATCCTCCTGCTGCTGCCACTCCCGTGCCTGGTGTGGTAACACACAACACAAGTGGCAGTTACACATATGAAATCGTCACATGGGATTCAATGTTACACACACTCTATGTGTTACATTCTCAGCATTCGAAACGTGTGCTTCCCTGTCTTCGCCTCCTTCTCATCCTCCTGCTGCTGCCTCTCCCACAACTGCAAGTGGGAAATGATAATACCACCAGTTTATTCGGGTCCAATACGAGTCGAATTCTGTCGAATACGAGCGAATACGAGTCGAATATCGAGTACTACCTCACCAGTCTTATTGACTTGTGTGAACGCAATATGAACCTAGATTTTCGAGCTCTGGACAGGTCAAGAGGTTCCATGCACTCTCTGGCATACGTGGTCAACTCTAGCCTGAAACACGCGATACTTAGATCTGCCTAAGTGCGAATGTGATTTCCGACTTTTGCATTCTGATTTGCTGGTCTGTTTGCCCAGAAAAAAACTACCAATGTAATTGTGTTGTTTGTTGTCAAGAGTGTATTTAGGGCATATCGAGACTCGAAATTGGCATAAAGTCAGCTTCCAAATGAATGACTGAGAGTTGCGTAGTGAGCGCGGTACACGAATTGAACGTGCGTGTATTTGTGGGCCCCCTGACAATGATCCTTGTATTTGGTGCATTGGGGGGCAGGGATGCTTTATTCGAGTACTCGTCGAGTACACGAGTACTTGACCCCTGAATACTCGCCCTCTCGAGTACTTGCGAGTCGAGTATTTGCCCTTTTTCTCAAGTAATCGCTTTGACTAGTATTTGCCGAATACCTCGAGTTTTGAGTAGTGACCGAGTACTAGATTTTCACCCTTACTAAGAAGTGGGAAATTATAGAAGATGTGAAGGCTCATCAGCGTGACAGTTTCAACAAGGTGTTATTTTGAGGCGCCTCAAAACTCGCCTCAATTCGATCAGTTGCTTACTTTTGCCAAGTCCGGTCCAGACTCGGTTTTTTGCAGTCCTCAAACTCGCGTGTGACTATAAACCGAGTTCACTTTTGAATCGACTCAATAGTCAATGATGGCTGCTTACCTGTTGCAGTCCTTGCTTGCACCTATTCTCTGCAGGTTGTCTGCTCTGTCAACGATGGCTGCTTACCTGTTGCAGTCCTTGCTTGCACCTGTTCTCTGCAGGTTGTCTGCTCTGTCAACGATGGCTGCTTACCTGTTGCAGTCCTTGCTTGCACCTATTCTCTGCAGGTTGTCTGCTCTGTCAACGATGGTTGCTTACCTGTTTTGAAGCGCCTCAGACTTGTCTCACTTCTGACTGCTACTCACCTGTTGCAGGCCTTGCTTGCACACGGTGCTGAGTGGGTCACACTTCAGCCCCTTCTCTTATGCTGCTGCTGCCTGCAGTGATTTACAAGCAGGGAGAGAGAGGAGAGGGGGTGAATGCAGTTTAGCCGAAACAATTTGTACAGTTAAAATCGTTCATCTCTCGATCCAATTCACCAGTACAGTTTCAATCCACCTCTTTCGGTAGAGTTTCAAGTCACCTCACTCAGCAGTTTCAATACACCAGGGTTTAGAGTTTCCACACTCCTCCTAGTACAGTTTCATCTAACCTCTATGTACAGTTTAGTACACCACTGCAATACAGATTTACAACTTCAAATCCTCTCGCGATACTGTTTCATCTCACATGTACATACTGTTTCATCTCATGTCTACATACAGTTTCACCTCACCTCAACACACTGTTTCATCTCACCTCCACGTACAGTTTCATCTCACCTCTACATACTGTTTCATCCTATAATGCGCCACTTCAATGCGAAAGTACATTGTCAACTCCTCTCACACGTACAGTTTCATCTCACAAGTACAGTTTCATCTCACAAGTACCGTTTCATCTCACAAGTACAGTTTCGTCTCACCTCTACATACTGTTTCATCCCATAATGCGCCACTGCAATGCGTGAGTACGCCTTGGCCCACCGCGGCTGCAGCTGCAGCGCCTGAACAAGGGGGTGGAAAGAGGTCAAAAGGGGTGCAGACGAGTGACCAAAGGGGAGATGAATGAAGGGAATGGGAGAGGAAAGGGATAAGAAGGAAGGGATATATGCTGCACTGCAACGCGTGAGTACGCCTTGGCCCACCGCGGCTGCAGCTGCAGCGCCTGCAGAAACAGCGGAAAGCGGTGGAAAGGGGTGCAGACGAGTGATAAGAATGAAAATGAGTCTCACTGCAACGCGCGAGTACGCCTTGGCCCACCGCGGCTGTAGCTGCAGCGCCTGAACAGTGGAAAGCGGTGCAGACCTGTGACGAATGGGGAACAGAGAGGGGTAGAGAGGAGAAAGGAGGGGGGAGTAGAAAAGGGGAGTTGAGGTATGCGTCTCATCTCAATGTGCGCGCCTTGGATTTACGGTGGAAAGTGGTGGATAAGCAGCACCGATGGGCGACAAAAGAGGAACAGCGAGGGGAAAGGGCTATAAACGATGTCTTACATGGCTGCATAATTGCGTGCTACACCAGTGCCATCACACGGCGTCGCAGATGCTTAGAACACCATATAGTAAAAGCTATAAAGATTATGGATATATGCTTACTTACCTTCCGGCCATCGTGCAAAGCCTGCTGGAAGTTCTTAATGGCTGCAAGTGTGCTTGTAACGCACATGCTTAAAACGAGTCCAGATAAATGCTCTTACCTTCCTGCCATCGTGCAAAGCCTGCTGAAAGTTCTTCATGGCTGCATGGGCGGCTGACCGGTTGCTGAAGAGAACGCTCGAGCTGATGGGAGAGGAGGGGTGTTTGGGGGGAGATGGGGAAGGACAGGCGGGTAGATGTGTTGCACTGCATGGCTGCATGGGCGGCTGACCGGTTGTTGAAAAGAACACTGGAGCTGATGGGAGGGGAGGAGGACACAGGGGGCACACATGGGAGGTATGAGGAGCAGAAGGACACGTAGGTAGACGTGCTGCTCTGCATGGCTGCATGGCGGCTGAGGAGACAGGGGCACACATCGGAGGGTGCTATGTGTGAGGAGCAGAAGGACACGTAGGTAGACGTGCTGCTCTGCATGGCTGCATGGCGCCTGATAGGTTGCTGAAGAGAACACCTGGGTCGCACGCCTGGGGGAAGGCAGACCTGGGGGAAGGCGGACTTGGTGGTGGCTCTGAGAGAGTTAGCTGCCAGCAGACCTGGGGTCAGCTTGGATGGCTTGGATGGCTTGCCACGCGTATTGGACCAGCCCCCAGTCGCGGAACGCCTCGGGAACGACGGACTGCGGCAACTCCAAGGGCTGGCCGAAGCACCCCGCCCACTGGCCGAAGCGCGAGAAGTCGACGGAGCACCCCCGTCCACTCGCCGGAAAACGCGGCGGAGAACGTGGGCCAGGCGGAAACGGGGGGTAGGGTCCGCGCTTGGTTGTCGCGTGCGGTGGGAGGCTCCGTCGGCGGGTGGGGACTGAGCGCTTTCGTGCGTTACGTTCGCTTGTGCTTCTGACACGTGGATGGAACGAGAAGCGCAGTGCTGACTGTGCATTCTATATAACCGTTAACGAATGGTGATTACAGCGCGTGGTGATTAATAGGAGCCATCATCGCTTGGCGCCACGAGCGACGGCGCCAAGGGGAGGTTCGCGGCGCGGTAGCAGGAATCCTACTAAGCTGGTTTATTGGAGTAACGCGAAGCATTTCGGGTTGCTTGAATGGAGTTACCTACATGAAGACATTGGGACGGCAAACTCGTCCCTCGCGGAACGCATCGGACGCATGGCTGCATGGCGACACGGCTTACGCTTTGAGAAAACGCACCAGACACAATAGCCGAGGACTTGATTTAGAGAGCGAAGCAACTAGACTCTCGACGATTGCTTGCGAGTGATTTCTGCTGTGAGTGAGACGATCCAGGTTGATTGAGGTTGATTGGGGTTGATCGAGGTTGATCGAGGTTGATCGAGGTTGGCTGCGGCTTTATCAGAGTCAATATTGTGGGTGTTATTGAGCTCATCGCTGTAGTCCGAAAGTTTTGACTTTGTACAGAATTTGCCGAATAAGAAGACACAATGCCAGGCTTACAAGCAAAGGCACCAAGAGACGCAAAGAAGCTAGCCTAAAAAAACACAACATTCTTGCATATACAAGCCCAGCTAACTAAATCTGCTGAGTGATCCTCTCCCTGTACATAATTATTTCTCGTATCAGCATTCGTCTTCCCTCTCAATCCACAACCCACATGCTTTTGCTGCGGTTGCTGCTCCACTTCCTCCTCCTCCTCCTCCTCCTCCTGCTGCTGCTGCTGTTGCTGCTGCTGTTGCTTCCACCCAGGTCTATTCAAGCTCAACTCATACGGCTCAGAGCCTCTACATTCAGAACTACGGACTCCAGAGCTACAATAGGCAGGCTTGGCATTTGAAGAAAGTTCTGGACGTGTGCTGCCAAGGCAGGATCCTCACATGCAGGCAAGTTAAGGTCAGGGATGACGACTCGGGTACACGGTGGCTTGCATGCACATTGTTCCATTAGCTCAGTCGCACATTGCTCCACCCACGCGGCCCTGTAGTCATTGCGAGCCTCAGCAGAGCAGCCTGGTGCGGCACGGGATTGAGGCGGCTTGGCAGAGAGCACAGTTATTCCCAGCCTCTCCTTGCTCCGGATGTAGTCCACCCAACTCGGTCGCATGCTGCGCTCATATGGGTCGCTCCTAGTCACAGCTACTTGTCGCTGCGTGAGTGGTGTGTCAGCTACTTCAGCAGCGTGTCTTCACCACCTCGTCGCTGAATGCTGCTGGAATGTTGGCCATGGGTTTTGCTGCTGCGGGACTTGAAGCACAAGCTCTGAAAATCCTGCGCCGGCGATGAGCATTGCTGCAGGCAGCACCATCACTATGGCAGTCATCGTGATTGTCACCGCGTCTTCCCTTCATCGTTGAGACTCTTGACGCCGCGGCGTGCCCTCTCAGCAACTCCTTCGCCCAGGGACTGCGCGGTGCCATAGTCTCAAGAGTGCTGCTTAGAGCTCAAAACTGCGGGGAAACGTTATGGGAGCTCGGTGAAACACAGCTGTCACGCAGGTCGGTACCAATGAAATGCCGCTGCATACTCACTGGAGGAGGGGACTGAAGGAGAACTGCCACAGAATGCAATGCACCTCAGCGCTTGGCGACAGAAATAATTTGGGGAGTGGGGGAGAGGAAGAGCGGCTGAGACTCTCGAGTTTAGTAGAGCCTCAAAAGACAATGTCAGGAAAGGGCGCTTCGGTAGAAATGCCAACTTCGAATGATGAAAGGACTGGGAAGGCATTTGGTTTTTCAACACAACTTTCAGCACGCGTACCATGAGCTGAAGACCCAACGAAATTTCAGCACTGCCATACGAGTGAGGTAAACTCCTCGAACTTTCTAGAGATACCTGTGGCTCACGGGTTATTATTCGATAAACTCGTTAGGTTATCCGATAAGCTTCTAGATGATAGCGGATTTCGTCGGTGATGCTTCGTCGCTTTGCTGGAAGTCGCTGGGTTGAGGATGACATCATGATGAGACACATGCCAGCTGGCGACGCATGACCACATGCCGCGTGATCTGCTCGTCCTATTGGCAGCATTCGTCGAAAACAAGCGGAGGAGCAAAATTGGTGGGAGTGTGCAAGCACGCGTGTTCGAACCGTCGATTCGGAATGAAAACTTCATCGTGGTAGATCATAGATCTCATTATCCTCCTCTTCTCGTTGATCGTACATGCCAACAACAAGCACCTTTGAAGATCCGTTTACTCTAAGCTACAGAAAAGGCGGTGATTCTGTAATTGAGAAAATGTTAGGTGATTCACCTAGTACTTGATAGGCTCAGGTCAGCTTCTTGTGTGTGATAAACAGCGATGGTCGATGGGTCTTGTGATTAGGGCTTGTTCTGTTGGGAGGTTCGTGTGTCATGACTTCGAATGGACACTCTGTTCCGCTCGAAGGTTTGTTGGACAGTGGGGGGGTTCACGTTTCAAGTCAAGACTGAAAGCGGGTCAGCCTGGTTCGCTTTCTGCTGAGAAAAAACGGTTGAGCACGATGCTGTACAATATCGAGTGGTTTGTTTGCTTCGCCGCTTTGAACCACCATCACCAGCCCGAACCGTATACCATAAACTGGAGACGAACAAAGCTGAACCCGAACTCGAATGAGCATTCCGTATTCGTCAGACTATTTTCCAAACCAACCCTGCCCAGCCACAACAAACTCCTTTCGGAAGTCAAGGGCTTTAGGGTACGGACAATGAACATCGCCAAAATCAAACATGCGTGGAGGGATAGATTTGAAGGGATGTTGGAGTTCGACCCACGTGGGTGTCCACAACTGATCTGTTGTGAGGTGGAGATGAACAGTATGCGAAACAAGCATGTAGGAAATTTTAGATTACACCAAACCTGTTACACTTGCGGTCCCTTTCTGTTAGGCCCCTTGGCCTAAATCCGCTAAAGAATAGCGGGGTCGACTAAGTCGAGGATGAAAACGCGGCGGAAGACTTTGGCGAAAGAACTATTGGCGAAATAGGCGAAGAAGTTACTGAGTAATTGAAGAGTTGAATGAGAATTGGTTGATATTGGGGAATACAAGCAAGGTTGATATAGCATGCAAGATCGAATGATGGAAAGTACTTCGTGGGACTAGAAAGTAGAAGCAAGAAAAGTAGAGTGCCACGTGGCACAAGGAAATCAAGGAAGATAAGGATAAGGGTGAGTTGGAAAGTACTGTTCAAAGGGAACAGTAAATCCCCCCTTAACACTTTCACCCCCTTTTTTGAAACCGCACTTTGCTCGTCAATCGGTCTGCTGCCATGCAGGGGCAATTTGGGACTAAAAGCAGTACTAGGGTTACCACCATCTCAAAGTTAGCGAACAACGGAATAGATGAACTAGCAAAGTGTTGGATACAAATAGGAAACCCTAGCATCTGTACCCTCTAGAATGCAACTCACTACAGCCTATAACTATTATATTTGACACACCCCCATAGGCTAAGTGAGGGGCATCAAAACAAGCAAGGCAGACAAACGGTCACAAGACCAGTCAAGACAAGAAGCAAGGCAAGCTCAGGGTGGATCTCAAGGACACCACACAAATTTCGAGCAAAAGCAAGCGGCTACAAGGCCAGTTCAAGAGTTCACTATGATATATATAGGAAAACACAACAAGCAGAGCAAGTAACAAGTCTACAGCAACCAAGGGCCTACCTCAACAAGCTCCAACTGCACACAGAACCTGTGGTGGTCACCAAGCGCCAGGGCCTTGGTGAAGACGTCTGCAGTGTTGGCCTCTGAGGCCACAAAGTCCAGGCGTGCCTGGCCGCGTCGCTGCAGCTCTCGTAGGAGGAAGTACCTCACGTCAATATGCTTCACTCTGCTCTCCAGTCGAGGCTCTCGACAGAGGAGGATCATGGCCTTGTTGTCAGCGTACAAGGTCGGTGCAGAGCGAGGCCGCTCACCAAGGTCGGCGAGCAAGAAGGTTAACCAGCGAAGCTCCTGTGCCGCCATGGCACCAGCGTAGATCTCTGCCTCTGCACTGGAAGTAGCCACAGACGACGACCGTGTAGACCTCCACGACACAGCACCAGCTCCCAGACTGAAGCAGTAACCCTGAGTCGAGCGCTGAGTCTCCACGTCTTCAGCGTAGGAAGAGTCGCAGTGACCAGTCAACGCCACTGGCTGAGTCCCTCCAAGCACAAGCCCTATGCCTGATGTAGTCGCCAGGTACTTCGCCACCCTCACAGCAGCTGTCCAGTGGACAGGACGGTGTCTCCCAGT